CCGGGACGGAGCACGCCGGGTTCTCACCGGACCAGGCTCTCAAATCACCAAGCGCGGAGCACCGTGAGGTATTTTATGCGAGTCGCATGAATGGTGCTATATTAGGACCCCGGCATTTGTGGTTTGTGATTTGGGTGTGGGTGCGGGGACAACGGGGGAAGGGGGCAACACCTACCTCTTGGCCGTATTCGGTTGCGGCCCAGGCATATCCAAGGCTAGCGCAGTGGTCCACGCATAGCTTCAGCATCACGAAGAGAACGCGGGAGTCGCATATGAGGATCGTGACACGCAAATAAAGGCCGGGTGGGGACGGGTGGGGAAGGGGGCGTGGGGTGGATAAATGGTGCTTGCCAGCTTGGCGGACCTTGCTTACCGCGCGTTTTACCGCTGGTACGTGTTGCACGAGAAGTTTACAAATATTGTTGATCATATAACAGCGACAATAACAACAACAGCAGCAACAGTACTACCAATACCACCAGCACCACCAACCTCACAACAGGCCACGGGCGAAAAACATCTGTGCAAAATAAACATTGGTTCGGCGTTCGCTGTGTGCGAGAAAGGCAAACGATTGCGACCAAGTAGCACGCACACGCTCATGTAACCAACTCAGTTTTGGTTCATCAACGACTCGATCCACCACACGCAGCAAATCTTAACGAACCAAGCAAAAACTTGATATTATATATATATGCCGACCAATAAACAAACCGACCTTGTTGGTCATGGCGTCAAACACGAGGGGGTCCCCCGGCATCGCCCGGGGCAGCGCGTCGCGGAAGCAGCCCTCGTAGTCGGTGCCGGTGCCACCGTTCACGGCTTGGATGTCGTACACGGTCATTTTGTCGAACCCACCGCAGGTCTCTTCTTCGTTGCCCGCGCAGGGAAAGTCGCAACTATCGATGTCCAGCTCCCCGTGCCTCGCCAGGGCCGGGTGTATACCGCACCAGCACTATTTGTTCACGTCAATATGACGTAGAAAGGGTCCATAGAGAAGGGGTACTCGATATCATGCACACCTCGCATCCCTACAATACGGGTACTCTGGGAATACGTTCCAAGTACATTTCGGTTGGATTGCAGTGACAGCTCGGTTGCATTGCAGTTACACTCTGATTCCTCATGGGTTACCGTATATCTTCATGATGGCTATGTCAATGAGCTACATTCCGGCAGACATTCCGATCACAGTCCGGCTACAGTACGGCCTCAAAATACGGCCTCATTACAGCAGTTTCGTTACGGTTACAATAATACGGGATTCACCGTCACACTGCGGTTCCAACACGAGCGGACCCACTGATATGGTATAGTCTACTATAGTACACACATACCTCTTCCCCGTACTGGGTGCCGAAGTGCGTGTTGGTGCCGTCGTTGCACAGGTCGAAGCAGATCTGCGCGCGCCAAGCACCAATCCAAAAAGCGAGAGTCCTCAGCAATAGTCTAAACCCCAAATTCATAGATATCATACGTCCTCACGAAACACGCAGAAAAAAATGCATTGCTTGAAGTCAAACTACGTCGCGACACAACGAGGAAAAAAAGCGAGAGGGATATATATAATGCTGCAGGTATAGCCTACTTGAATAAAACAAAAGTACTACTATAATAATACTAGATATCCTGTTGTGGGAATACATAATGGGCTACGTGCATAGGACGCCGGTGGTCGGAGAGGTGCAGCAGGCACAGCTGTCGGTTGCGTTCTGACAACAAACGAACACGACAAGAATTGAGATTGTCTAAACATCGCCCGGAAAAAACGTCGATTGAACAAAGCAACCCCCCATCGATCTATTTATCCTCTCCTCCCCGCGTCCCGACATGCGCCCAAGACCCCAGCATTCATACGCACACTGCCGTGTGTATGTAGACCGTCGATAGATGCACACAGCACACGTACACGGTGCAACTCACGGATGCAGACATGACATCCTCTGACTGTTTGTTGAACATGATCCGACCGCTCTGGCTGTCCGCGTAGCACCCGACCAAGACGTAGTCGTCTAGGTGGTTCCCTAAAATCAATAAAAGAACAGAAGAACACGTGGTGGTCAGTACCATCGATCGATACAAGAGCCGGGAGGGCCAACAGAGGGTCCCGCCCTCCGTTTTGAGGATGGAAAGTGTGGTGTGGCGAGACTTACGAAATGATGCCGGCACCAAGGTGTTGTAGAATTGGAAGGAAAGTCCTACATATGTTGTTGTACTTCGTATTGGTTTAATATTCATGTA